TATGTTGACGACACCTGGGTTAAAATTAAATCTCAGGAAGTCCAACATTTTACTGACCACATCAACTCTGTGGATAAATACATCAAGTTCACACGAAAAGATGAAAAAAATGGCAAGTTGGCTTTCTTGGACTGTGAGATCTCAGTCTCTGATAGAGGACATTTGCAAACCGAGGTGTACCGCAAACCCACCCACACAGACCAGTATTTGCAGTTTGACTCCCATCACCCTTTGGAGCACAAGTTAGGAGTCATCAGGACTCTGTATCACAGAGCAGACAGCATCCCCACTAGCTCAGGAGCCAGGCAGAAGGAGAAATCCCACACAAGACAGGCTCTAGAGCAATGTGGATATCCTAACTGGGCCTTCCTGAAAGCAGAGAAGAAACCCAAACAGGACTCCAGTCAGCCATCAGGTGAAAAGGAGGAACCCAGACCCAGACCAGTGGTCATTCCGTATGTTGAGGGAGTCTCAGAGAAACTGAGACGTTTATTTTCTAAACATAACGTCCCAGTGGCTTTTAAACCACAAAATACATTACGGCAAAGACTGGTTCATCCCAAAGATCCAGTCCCCCGGCACAAATAGAGCAATGTTGTGTATGCTGTTCAGTGTCAGGAGGGTGATCAGTCTTACATCGGGGAAACAAAACAGCCACTGGCCAAAAGGATGGACCAGCACAGAAGTTCAACATCATCAGGCCAGGACTCTGCGGTCTACACTCATCTCCAGGCCAGCGGTCACTCTTTCAAGGATGAAGATGTTCACATCCTGGACAGAGAGGAACGATGGTTTGAGAGAGGAGTAAAGGAGGCCATCTTTGTGAAAAGAAATCGTCCATCATTAAACAGGGGTGGAGGCCTCCGGGTTCAACTGTCCCCCTCTTACAATGCTGTGATTGCTAGTATCACTCAGCCCTCTGTGAACAGTAAGTGTCTATCTAACAATCAGTTGTCAGGCTGGTGGTCTAGAACTTTAACAGTGATTGGTCAGTCAGTAGCTGAATTTTTGGGCAAACTTCTCATTCTTCATTGTTTGTTGTTGATTACTTACATCTCAGCTGATAAGGTACGAAGTGTTGAACATTATTTGACCATAAAAAAAAAATAATAATAAAAAATTAAAGGATATTGTACAAATGGACAAATGAATGCAACTCTCCTGCATGGCTCAGAAATCTGGTGTGGACTCTAGAGCTCATAGGGGTCATGAAGTGTGTGTGTGTGTTTGTGTAGGTGTGTGTGTAAGTGTGTGTGTGTGGGGGGGGCAGCATCACCAGTCCTTCAGGGCTCAGCAGGCTAATTAATAACGAATCCCAGAGAGTCTGTGTTTGAAATGCAGATGTGCAACTGCCGCTCCGCCTGTTCTTTCACAGGGGTGTGTGTGTGTGGGGGGGGGGGGGGGGCACAGGGTAAAGTATGTTGGCTGGATGTGCAGCAGTGGCAGACAACTTGCTTGTCCCCTACATGTAACTCACACAGCCCAGTCATTAAACACAGATTTGACTTTTGAACACAGTTGATGGAACAGAAAAAAATATTTAATTTGTGTAAAAACTTGACCCCGTTTTTTTTTTTTTCTGCTTCAGCGTCTTTTCTTTTCTGTATCGGTGTCATTAGAGGCACAAGCCGCGAGCTCTTCTCCGCTCTCTACACAGAGGAGGACACGGAGGAGGATGGAGAGACACTGAAGAGCTCCAGACTTTCTCCTCCTCTTCTTTGTGAGTTGGAGGAGTTCGACAGATGTTACGTAGATTTTTAGCTTCATTTTCAACCAGCTGTGACTCCTTCAGCGACCCAGCAGCTAAACACAACCCTCTCCTGCAAACAGCACCTGTAACACACAACAAGCACACACAAGAGGTCAACAATGTTTTCAACAACCTTTTGTTTTGGGGAGGGGACCGGTGGAACTGATTCAGTGCTTTAAGTTCTTCCAGATTAGAAAAGAAAAACAAAGGAAGCCTGAAGTTGCTCTGATTCCAGATGTGAATGTTGCTGAAGTCGTCAGTTAGAAACTAAAATTCACTTCTCTCTGAAAATTGGATATTCTCAATTGTAGTTCTGCCAAAGTTGTTTTAGGAAAATGTCTTGAATAAAAACCACATTGCTTCTTTGTTTTAGTTCAGTATATTTAGACTTTAAAAAAAGGGCCGTCAGTGTGAAAACAACTAAAAATAGATGATAAAAGGGTTAGTCTTTATTTAACTTCCCCAGATCAAAATAAGCTAAATAACAAAACACTAAATATATTTAAACAAAAAAATCTATTTCAACACTTCACTTATTTAAATACCATTGTATTATTATTGTTATTACCATCATTATCATCATCATCATTATTATTATTATTATTATTATCATCTTCATTATCATAATAATAATAATTAGTATTATTATTAATATTATTATCATTATATTGTTATTATTATTTTATTATTATTATTATTATTATTATTATTATTATTATTATTATTATTATTATTATTATTATGCCTTTCTATCCTGACGTTAAATTGTAGTGCTCAGTTGGACTATGAGAAATTATTTATTTACTTTGAAATATTTTGAAATAAAAGAGCATAAAATAAAGCCAGCTAATGAGTCATCCTGCCAACTTTAAGGTATAATATTTATTTATTTATTTACTATGTATGAAGAATTGGCAGGTTATAAGAGAAATGAAGAAAGGAATCAAATCTGGGATTGTTAAATCTTGAGGCACTTAAAAAAAAAGTAAAATGCAAATAAAAGGAGGAAAGAGATAAAATATCATAAACTTGATTTTTAGACATTTGTCATCTCAGAAGATTTTAATTTAGGGAATATATAGATGTATCTGCCTGAACCAGTCACTGAGAGGTGACATCACCAAAACAAACTAAAGTTCTGGAACAATTCTCAAGGTTTTTGTTTTTTCTTTAAGGAACTCCTCCTTGTCTTTGTGTATTTTTGTATTCCAAACAATTATTATTATTATTTTCTCCTTTTAAATGAATAAATCAGTGCGGGGGCCAGTGAGGCTCCGTGGTGGTGGTGGTGGGGGGGGGGGGAATTCCAAAAGGTCATGACACCATGTGACAGGTCCTGCCCCGCATGAGACCTGAGGCAGTCTCACTAAAACCTGCTCCATCTGAGCTCCAACATCCACCCATCCATCCATCCATCCAGCCAGCCATCCATCCATCCATCCATCCATCCAGTCAGCCATCCATCCATCCATCCATCCATCCATCCATCCTTTACCCGCTGAAAACCAAACCCAACAGAACTCATCAGTTCCAGATCTTGAGACCAAGACCTCAGATAAACCAGTTGAAGCTTCAAACCAGCTGCAAACATTTAGTGACTCATCAGAAGCTGCTGATTTGATCTTCCTCGTGCGTGTTTTAAGAAATCAACAGTTTGAAAGCCCAACAAACATTTCAACAAATCAAATGATGATCTTTAAAATCTAAACGTGTGCCATTTATTAAAACAAAGAAGATCATTCTCTAACAAGAAGCATGTCCTGCTGCTGCCAGATGTTTGTTGACTCCGCTGTAAACAAACAAACACAAACAAAACGGGACAAGACCGAACCTAAAAAGGGAGTCGTGTGATTAGTTGTTTGCTGGTGGAGCAGATGCGCGTGAGCGCGCGCGCGCAGAGCAGTGTCAGTGTAGCGGCTCGGAGCGCGCGCTCTCAATGGGCTCTTTATGGGAGGATTTGCCTTTTCTTCGCCTCGCTATGGAAACCAGTTCAGCGGCGGAAAAATGTCGACTGGAATAAAAGGGAGCCGGCACAAGGAGCGTTTCTGGAGAAGCATCTGTTACACTTAGAAACTTAGACTATGGACAGAGCCAGAGCAGCCCCCCCGCACCCCCCTCCCAGCGTCCTCCTCTTCTTTAGCTTTATGCGCCACGAAAACACCGAGTTGATCTTCAGAAGGAGATGCAGGAGCTACAACGTTTAGAAAAACATATTTACTCATATTTAAAAGCCCCTAAAAAAATCAGTTTGCTAGAGTTCAGTGTCATTTGCCTCCATCAATGCAACTTTGCACCAAATGATGGTTTTTATTCACCTCGTGACGTCATAAATCTCCAAACCAAAGACGCTCCATCATCAAACATTCATCCATAATTCAGCAAATTTACTCCTTCATCCATGGATTTCTCCTGTCCGGTTTATTTATAAGTTTTTAAGCTGTTTGTCTCATCATCATCATCATCATGTCCCTCCCCCCCACCACCTCCCGCCTGCAGCGGCCCTGTCCGCTCCTCCAGCCCCGCGCGCGCAGCTCACCTGCTGCGGCCTGCTCCTCTCCGTCTCCCCCCGCGCTGCTCCAGCCTCTGAATGCCCCTCCGCCGGCTGCTGTCCTTCTTTTTATTTCCTCTAAATGTATGAAAATGTATGCAAATTTAAATCAAGCTTAACCTGCACGCGCAGCTTCGCCAAAACGTTTCATGGAATTTGCAACAAGGAGCGGGACTCCGGCGCGGCTCTCACGTGCAAGTGTGAGAAAGGGGCTAAAGTGTTTATTAAAGTTTAAAACGCTGCCTTGAACCAGTAAAAGATGAGAATTATTTTTTTTACACACTAAGTTTTTATCTGGATGGTTTTGGTGCGTGAAAGAGTGCGTGCGTCACCTGAGGAACATGAAGTTAATAATTAGAGATGAACTGCTTTCAGTCTGATTGGAACCCCCCCCCCCCCTACAATTTAAGTGCTGGCACGTTTAAGCAATGCCATTGCAGCTTTAATCTGGTTCCCCGCGCGCGCTCGAGGGTGACGGGAGCAGCAATAAACCCGTGCGTAAATCAGCTGGAAACTTTAATTAATAAACAGGAAGCCAGCACACTTCCGGTTCGACTGCTGTACAGTAACACGAACACGCCGAACTGGGCTGAGGAGGTTCGAGTGTCCTCCGCCCGCGTTGGTGAAGACGTGCACGGAGACGGGCTGTGATTGGCTCCGGAAGCTGTCAGTCATGAGGCTGCGGCCGGAGGCTCCGAGGAGAGGGAGAGATGTCAGAGGCTGCGCTGGTTCCTCCTGTAGCACCAGTGGGCTTCAGCAGCCAGCATGGCCGCAGCTGCCTCCAGCCCCTACACCCTGCTCACCTCCGGCTCCATGATCCACGCGGACAGCCAGGCCATGCAGCCCGCGAGCCCCTACAGGGGCCACCAGAAGCTGCTGCAGAGCGACTACCTGCAGAGCAACGGACACCCCCTCGGGCACCAGTGGGAGAGCAGCTGGTCCACCATGGAGCAGCAGGACGTGAAGCCGGGCAGGGAGGACCTGCAGCTCATCCACCACCGCTCCCCGCACGTCGCGCACCACTCCCCGCACCACAACAACCACCCGGGGACGTGGGGGGCTCCGGTGTCCCACAGCACGTCCATCAGCGGCGCGCAGCAGCTCAACCTCTACTCCCAGACCGGCTTCACCGTCAACGGCATGCTGGAGCACGGCGGCCTCACCCCCCCTCCTCCGCCACCCAGCAGCAACCCGCAGGCCCAGGGCATGCACCCGGGCCTCAGGGACACGCTCAGCCCCGAGCACGCGGACCTGGGCGCCCACCACTGCCACGACCACTCGGACGAGGAGACGCCCACCTCGGACGAGCTGGAGCACTTCGCCAAGCAGTTCAAGCAGAGGCGCATCAAGCTGGGCTTCACGCAGGCCGACGTGGGGCTGGCCCTGGGCACCCTGTACGGGAACGTGTTCTCGCAGACCACCATCTGCAGGTTCGAGGCGCTGCAGCTCAGCTTCAAGAACATGTGCAAGCTGAAGCCGCTGCTGAACAAGTGGCTGGAGGAGGCCGACTCCTCCACCGGCAGCTCCAGCAGCATCGACAAGATCGCCGCTCAGGGGAGGAAGAGGAAGAAGAGGACGTCCATTGAGGTGAGCGTCAAGGGGGTCCTGGAGACCCACTTCCTCAAGTGCCCCAAGCCGTCGGCGCCGGAGATCACGTCGCTGGCGGACTCGCTGCAGCTGGAGAAGGAGGTGGTGCGCGTGTGGTTCTGCAACCGGCGGCAGAAGGAGAAGAGGATGACGCCGCCCGGGGAGCCGCAGCACGAGGGACCCTATTCTCACAGCGGGGACGCGTCCTCGTGCCACGATCTCTGACCCCCCGCGTCACGGGGGGCAGGTGGGGGGATTTCTACAGACTGACCCGGTCCAAAACGGACTCCTGCGACAGGAGCCTCCAGAACAGAACCTGTTCTTTAGTCTGAGGGCATTCTGGTGTTCCGGTTCTGTTGGATCTTCTAAAATGTGCCTCTGAAACAACCCGCAGCGCCTTTGGTTCCATCAGCTCTTCATGGACTCATCTCCTGTTCTGGTTGGGCTTTGATTTGATTTGATTTTATTTTATTTTTATTGAGGAAAGAAATCCTCACATAAATATTTCGCTTTAAAAAAAAAAAATCAGTTCTCAAACTTCCTTTTAGTTTTTACAGTTGTTCAATATTCCAGATGTTCTGATGTTCTCATGGCGGCCTCCTGCAGCTGTTCATAAACTCTTTTTTTTATTTCAGTCACCTTCGACCACTGAAACTGTGTGGACTCTGGCACAGAGCAGATTGAAAAAATAAAGTAATAAATAAAAAAAGGAAGCTGCCTTTAATTTTAACTCAATCTCCAAACTTTTATAAATCCTCACTTCTTTGCTTCTATAAGTATTTTTCTCTGATATTGTACAGTTTTATATATAAATATAAATATGACCTTTTTTCAAGTCTTTAATTTAAACAAATGACATTAGTTATCCACGCACTCAGTTAGCAAATGTTTGAATAAAAAATAAATAAATAAAAGGAAAAAAAAAAAAGTATTTTACAGGAAAACTGAACTGTTCTGGTTTTATTCAAATTTCAATGACAGCTCAAGTAATTATTTATTTTCAGTATAAAGCTTGTATTATGTTTTGAAATAAACTATGTATGTTGGAATAAACAGTTTCTTAATACAATTTATTTACTGTCTGTAAGAGGAAATTTATGCATGTTTAAATTTATCCAATTTCTTATTTTATTATTCTTATTTATGTACATTCTCTTATTTTTTAGTTTCGTTTAAATCTTCTATTCTTTTCTTCTTATTGTTGCCTATTCTCTCTATTAATTCATATTCTTTAGTGTATTTTTTTATTCATATTTATAAATTTTTTTAATTATTATTTGTTATTTTTTATGTTATAATAATAATACATTTTATTATTATTATTATTATTACTTTATTGTTATTGTTATTATTATTATTGAGGAAACAAGGAAATAATGTAAAAGTAACTTATAATGTGGCTTTTAAACGAAATTTAGAATATTAAAAAAGTTTCTGAATTAAATATATATAAATATTTTAAGATGCATGACTAATAATATTTATTCTATCAATATAATTCATATTTAAACAGACAAAAACAACATTTTTAAAAACAAATTTGTATCTCCATCAAGCAAATATGTTGGGGTGTTTTTCCCGTGCAGCTGTGAACTGGACTTTTATTTATTTGTTTATTTGTTTATTTATTTATTTTGATCCCAGACTGAGACGCTTTCAGCTCCACTGAAATGTTATTGTCCGGGCCCTCTGCCCTTCTCAATCAGACATGCGTGATTTATCGCCTGGGCCGCTGGGCCTGACAGCAAAAACACAATGACAAGCGCACGCACACACACACACACTGAATCAGAAGCAGATGAATCTGCTTTCAGAGACTGCAGCTGTGTATGATTGGCCTCGCAGAGGGCAAAGCAGACAAAATGTACATAAATATATAAATAAATTTAAAAACGCCGGCAAAAAAATAAAGCAGGGATGGTGTGGAAAGAGGTCAACCCATGGATGCAGCTCTGTTTAAATTATTCAAAAATAGATCCAGTGCATGGAGGGAGGGGGGAGGGAATGGGGGTGAAGGATTGAGAGAGGCGGAAGGGTGCTATAGGCCTTGCCTTGAAATGGAGAGCCTGACTGGAATACTAATGTGTCTGAATTTATGCATCTCCTCAGTCTGCAGCCCCGAGAAGGGTGGGGTGAGCAAGGGGGAGGGAAGGGTGTGAGGGTGTAGGTGAAAGAGGGCGGTTATGTAGAAGAAGAGGGAAAAAGTCAAATCGTGGCTGATTGATTCCACCCATGTGTTTAGGCTGGAAACGAGCCCTATATATACTTTGTGAAGGAGAAACACAGACGTCTGCAGCCTTCTTCAGTCAGGAGCTCCAGCTCAGTCTGGCTGGAAACACTTCATCATGAGGAAGTTAGCAGAGAAGATATAACAGGTGGACGTTTGCCTCCTTCAGCGGTAATAAATACATTTCAGGTGAATATTCATTCAAAAAGCTCCGAGGGTGATGGAGCAGTAGAACGGACGAGGTCGTGGGTTATCATCTTAGAGGAGGAGCAGAGACGATGAAGGCTGCACTTTATCCATGATCTCTTTGAATTTGCTCTCATTTCTCTTTTAAAGACCTCGTCTAACCCTACCTGCTTCTTGCTTACGACAATATGAAAAATAAAAACTTGGGGACACAATTCATCAACACATTAATTTTCAAAGTAAACGTGTGACTTTCCTTGAACTAACCAGTAAAAAGTGCATGTGACTGGGATGGAGACAAATCAAAAGGTTCCTGGGAGCGCAGCGGAGACACCGACTCAGTGTGATGTTTGCAGAACAGTAAGGAGGTCAAAGAAAGGTCGTTTAGAGTCACACCTGGAAGGAATTACATGGAAGCAGAGATGCAGCTAAACGTTTAAAGGATCAGCGCTGAGGGAAGCAAGCTGGATACTTTACTGAAATCCTAATCCTGTGATTCTTTTAGTCAAAAACACAAATTCTGAGTCCAGAGTTTTTATTTGGCTTCAAATGTAATTCAGTTGTGTCGTGGTTGTCTTAAAGAAATGATTGCCAGCTTCTTCTGTTATTCTTGTTTACGTTTCTTAAATCCTGACAATTATTTGTTTGCACTGCATTTGTTGCTCTAGGGTCTAAAAATTACATTTAATAAAACAGTTTAACCAAAAAGAAAATACAGGAAAGAAACAAATGAACAAATAAAATAGGCAGCAATGTGTGCATTTTTATACTGTAAAGACGAATTGATTATGTTCATAAATGTAAAAAAAAAAAAAAAAGCTTACCTGAAAACTATGATTTAAATGAGGTTAAAATACAAATAAAAGCTTTGGTTTATAAACTGCACTGAACCACTGATCCAGTTAAACTGAAGTTGCTGTCAGAAATGGTTGGGACATTTTTTAAAAAGTTGGTTTTAAATCTATCATGAAATTCGTTTAGATAATTTGAAAACAAATAGGTGATACGTTTAAAATAGGTAAGCTGTTAAATCATGGACACCAGAAGTAGCATCCTGACGGAGCTGCTGAAGGTCACGTCACACCAAGAACAGCTGAGTTCACCACATTATCCAAAACTTGAAAATGTTTATTAGATAACAACCTGACTTGGATTACACTGGAAACTAATCAGTTATTTAAAATCCCATCAACTTGACATTTGGCGCAACATTCCCTCTCGTTGCAAAGCAGTTTAACTGTTTCTGAGTTCACCTTTGTTTTCTGGCTCTTCAACTCTTCACTGCGACCAACTGACAAGCTCCCTGATCTAATACCTGACCACATTCTGCTCCTAATGACAAGGACTGTGGTTTTGGATCTGAGCAAGACGCTGAACACGAACGGTTTAACACGTTTTATTTAGAAACAGCTGCTGGAGGTCAGAGTCCTGGAGCGAGCCCAATCTGCAGAGATATGAAGGGTTAGTGGACTGACAGTTTCTGTGATGATGAAGGTAAACAGAACAGCAGCCACTAACCTTGTGCAGGTAAGATGAGCACCACCTGAAGGAGCAGGGCAGGATGATGTCACCATCACAGACAGGACTACAGCAGAGGAGCAGGTTTGAGAGAGACGTGATCCAGAGTAATTTTCAGAGTCGAGGGTCAGGCGTGGAGCAGAGGGTTGGTAACAGGGTATCAGAGGTCCAATAATAAATCCAAAAGGGGGACAAGTGAGGCGTCGTTGTAGATCCAGAAAGGCAGGTCGGTACCGTGATCAGAATCAGAATAAGCTTTATTATCATTGTAACGAACTTGGGGAGTGGTGGCGCAGAGGTTAGAGAAGGTGGGCCTGTGATCAGAAGATTGCCGGTTCAAGCCCCGATACCGACAACATCAAAAATGTCGGTGGGATAGGTGAAGCACCCACACCTGCTCCCACCCTCATTCGTCCCACTCTGGGCCCTTGAGCAAGGCCCCCACCACCATCTGCTCCTCCGGGTGTCCTAGAGAGCAGCTCTCTGCTCCACACAGAGGGCTGTGGTAGCTCGGTGTCTGTGGTTGCGTCAGGAAGGGCATCTATAAAAATAACTGCCAAGTCTTCGTGCGACTTAGTTCGCTGTGGCGACCCCTAACGCAGGGAACAGCCGAAAGAAGAAAAAAAATCAATGTAATGAAATACAGTGAGAATATGTTTGTACAGTCATCCGAAAGATGGGCGGGGTGCACGTTGCTGTTACTCCTAAGAGCACGACCCCTTATTATTTTAGATAGAAAAGGGGAAAAGGCCACGAGGAGAGAATAGTGGTATTACAAAAAAGATCTCTTCACACCTTGTCCTTTTCAGGACATATTTAAGACATCAAAACCTCTACCAGCAAGCACATTTATAACACTTTACATACAGTATGTATTTGATGACAAGATGGTGAGATTTGTCCATGAAGCACTTCCCTATAGCACCATAATAATATAATAATAATTGGTGTCATCTGATACAACTCTGATAAACATTCACAGATATTTTTGGTGGTGGTGGTGGGGTGATAAACAAAGTTTTTCCTTAGTTTGCACATATCCCAGGAGAAATTTGATAAGTCAGCCTGCTTCGAGGCCTAACGGAGGAATCATATTCAGATAAGCCACAGCATGGACTTTTTTGGGTTTGAACCAGCTTGACATGACTGTCGACGAGGAAGAGGGCTGGCTCCAGAGGAGGGGGCGTGCCAAAGACACCATTTTAGCACCAACATAACTGGTTTGTTCCACTTTGGTGTAAGCTGTTTTGGGGAAGAATCAGTTTTGTGTTTCCTTGACTGATGAAGCCTTCCGGATGGAAGGTGAAACGTTTCAGAAAAAAAACGAAACTGTCTCTGAAAAAAAAAAGAAACTGTCCAGATGACCTGACTGAAAATTGTTGGATAAGCCACAGCTGTTGATTTTTTTAGGCAGACTGTTTTTTCTCTTCAGCCTTGAGTTTCACTGGTACGTTCGATGATCCAAAATGGCCAGATTTGTGGTCATT